GCTATTGTCTTCCTTTTCTGCGTTTTTCACGATTTATTTCTTTTCCCATCTACGGCTGCCGGTTATCTCGACAAACCCAACACTATTTCAATCCTCGTAGTTTCCGTATAGCTTTTATCGCTGACGCTGTGTTGCGATGCCCTTGTCAATCCTCTACATAGCACTGTACTGCAGACAAGAAGGATGGAGGAAACCACAGGGCGAAGGAGATACCGGGAGAAATGTGGGAGAAGGTGCTCGACTGAGAGGTGGATCGCACACGGCCTGACAGGTAATTCATGGGGACCACTCACACTCGACACCGCGTTCTATCGAGGAAATCAGGGCGCGGTAATTGAATCACTCTTTGCATGGAGCAGGTAGAGTGCTCGGAGTTAGCCAGAAGGGTATGGGAGGCTTCACGCGCGCCTTGTCCATTTGTAGACCAGGTGGGGTGCGATGGAAGTGCAAGAAGGAGAGAAGGGGGGCTACGCACAAAAAATAAATGAACAAAAAATAAAATAAAATATATAATAATAATAAAAAGTAATGGCAATAGTAATGATAATAACAATAACAGCTATAATGAAAATAATGATAATAATAGTAGTAGTAGTAATAGTAAGAACAGTAATAATAATAATGATAACAATATTGATAATTAACAACAGAAAATAGAAAAATAATGATAGTAATAATTATACTAATAAGGATAACAGCAACATCAATGTTAATAATAATAATAGTAATGATAATGATAATGATTATAATAATAGGTTATGATGATAAAAATGATACAATATTATCAATAATGATAATGATGATGATAATAATAATAAAAATAATAGTGTTAATAATAACACTAACAACAGCAATAAAAATAATAATAACAATAATTATAGTACGAAGACGAAGGATAATAATGATAATAATAAAATGTCAACAACAACAGCAATGATGATGATGATGATTATGATGATGGTGATGATGATGATGATGATGATGATGATGATGATGATGATGATGATGATGATGATGATGATGATGATGATGATGATGATGATGATGATGATGATGATGATGATGATGATGATGATGACGATGATGATGATGATGATGATGATGATGATGACGATGACGATGATGATAATTATAATATCATTAATAAAGATAATTATGATATTAACAAGACAAAGACAACAGGAAAAAGAAGAAAAAGGGAAGAAAAGAAAAAGAAAAAACAAGAAACAAAAAATAAAGAAAAAAAGAAAATGAAAAAATAAAAATAAAGATACAAAGGAAAATAAAACCAATCTTAAAAATGAAATAAAAAATAAAAGATAAAAAAAGGGAAAAAAGGAAATGGCAAGGTAAAAAAAAGAAAAAAAGAAACCCCCCCATAAAAAACATCAGCACGAACAACAACAAAAACAATACAAGGGTTGACTGAACTTTATTAAAGCCTGGATGGTCATAAAGTCATCGAAGCATCATTACAGCAGCAACGAGGCCAGGTCAGGTCATCCCCATGGTGATCCCGCGCTGACCAATCACGGGGCATGATCGGCTAAATTCCGAATACGCAGTTAGGGAAGAAAAAGTAAACAGAGGTACAGGGAGAGGAGAGAATAAAAAAATATGTGTGCGATTAATATAATGGATAAATGATGAATTGACTAGAAAAAAGGGAAGAGGAAGGGGGATATGTGTGTGGTTTGTAAAAGGTACATAGAGGGAGAGAAATTATAAATTGATTTTGATGTGTTCATGGTAAACAAATTAAATTAGAAAAAAGAATATTGTATTTATCAAACACAAGAAGTTAAAAAGATACAGATGTGTTATGTTATTAATGCCAGAGGAGGGGAGAAAAGTGAGAAATTATATCGAAATTATTAGTAAAGGGGAGAGAGAGAGAGAGAGAGAGAGAGAGAGAGAGAGAGAGAGAGAGAGAGAGAGAGAGAGAGAGAGAGAGAGAGAGAGAGAGAGAGAGAGAGAGAGAGAGAGAGAGAGAGAGAGAGAGAGAGAGAGAGAGATAGAGACAGAGAGAGAAGGGAGAGAGAGAGAGAGAGAGAGAGAGGAGAGAGAGAGAGAGAGAGAGAGAGAGAGAGAGAGAGAGAGAGAGAGAGAGAGAGAGAGAGAGAGAAGAGAGAGAGAGAGAGAGAGAGAGAGAGAATCAATATTCGGTTTATTTTAATTCGCAATTCACACGGAAAAAGCGTACAGGAAAGTTTGTTTTTCTCCATACAGGCTATAAATATCTGAACAGCAGAGCAAAAGTGGCTTCCAGTATCAACATTCTGCGGCAGAAAGTCATCGAAAAATGAGTTTCTTTTAATTACAGAGCCGGTATGAAAAGTTTCTGCATGAATCTGTAATCAAGATTGATTTTGTTTTTTTTTATTTATCTTTTTGTGAATTTTGTTATTTCCTCCATTTTTCTACTGCAATATGAAAATCATTTTGGCTTTTAATTACACATTTTTCATATATCGCTCCCTGATTGCAAGTACGTAATATGTTCTATTATGAAAGGAAAACACTTTTAATTACATGTTTTGCATTTTCTATAATTATTCTTTAATATATTCATTATTTATACAGCTAATGTTATGCAAGAAAAACGCACTGGCATATATCATACCTTTGTTTTGTATTCATGCCTTAGTCTATCGTACGATTCAATACATCATAATAAATATTTATTCTTCATTCATTTCAAGTATCTGATTTAATATTCATATGGGCAGGGGTCGAGGGAGCTGGGAGGAGGAGGGGAGGGGGGAGGAAGAGGAGGAGGAGGAGAGGAGGAAGAGGGAGGAGAGGAGGAGGAGGAGGGGATAGGATAAGCAGGAGAGGGATAGAGCCGGGGTGAAGGAAGAGGGAAGAGAGAGGGAGTGCAGGAGGAGGAGAGGGGTTCGAGGAAGGAAGAGGGAGAGCGAGAGGAGGAGGAACAGGAGGAGAGAGGGAAGGCCCGAGGAGGAAGACGAAGGAGAAGAACGGGAGGAAGAGGAGGGGGAGGAGGAGGAAGAAGAGGAGGAGAAGGAGGAGGTAGAAGACGTGGAGGATAGGGAAGGGGATGAAAGGAGGAGAGTGGGGAGAGCGGGAGGATGAGAAAAGATGGATTGGGGGACAGTGGAAGAGAGAGTGAGGGAGGGGGTGGAGGGGCGGTGGAATCGAGGGCGTGGAGGAGCTGGAAGAATGGATGCTAAAAAGGAAAAAAAAAATGATGACATACTTGATAATCAATATTTGGGATAGAGAAATCGACAAAGGAGTTTTTATTCCTCATTCATGTGACGTCAGTCACATGAATGTCTCACTCTACTGCGAAGAAACCAATGCTTAATATTTTCCATATTGCAGAAGTGTTCCGTAATTTACTTGCGACTAATTACGGAATTCATGCCCTTTTCGTTCATGTGTTTTATGCAATGTATAAAAGTGCATGCGTTTGAGTGTTGTGTGTGTGCATGCGTGTGTGTGTGTTTGTGTGTGTGTATGGGCATGCGTGTGAGTGTGAGTGTGTGTGTGTGCTCGAGTGCATGTGTGCGTGAGAGAGAGAAAATGTAAGAGTATGCAAGGGCGAGAGAGTGGGAGAGAGAGCTTTCTCCCCGAAGGGATATCATGCAGGAGAGTTTTGGCGAAGGTCCATATTGCTGACCTTTTTCAGACGAATCTCATGCACATTAACCACCGCGAAGTTTAATGAGAACTGAGAACTTGCCTTGAGTGAAGATTGAAGAGTTGTAGGTGGGAGCTGGAAGCAAATAAAATAAGGATCAAGAAGCGCAAGACAAACAAAATCCTTTAAACAAAAAAGAGAAAAATAAACAAATGACAAATTATCACAGAAGGAACAGGCAAAAACTGAAGTAAAATCTTATCATATATGATAGAGGAATAAAAGAAACAATAGAGATTAGAAATCATTCATAAAAATAATAGTGATATTAGCAAGCAGAAGCAAAAGCAGTCTAGTCAAGCATGCAGCGGAAGGCCACATTAGTGATGCATATATTAAAAGAATTAAACCAAATATGTGCGTTTATCCCTGTATCCGTAACAAAACATGCAGGCATATACATGCATAAAACACATGTTTATAAATATACACATATCCAGTATGGGTGAATACACACACACACACACACACACACACATATATATATATATATATTATATATATATATATATATATATATATATATATATATATATATATATATATATATATATATATATATATATATATATATATATATATATATATATATATATATATATATATATATATATATATATATATATATATATATATATATATATATATCTATATATATATATATATATATATATATATATATATATATATATATATATATATATATATTATATATTACATATATATATATTCTTCCATTTGTTTATATGGTTAGATCTTAATCACCTTATTTCTATGTTTATTTCTTTAATGATTTATAGTGTTATTTGCTTATCATTCATTTCTTACTCACCTATTTAAAATTTCAATGACCTGCAAGCACAAGTACTGAGTACAAACGCTAAAAGCAACAGCTAACAGATTTTTCTTATGTGCGTCTCGTGGATGAAGGCAGTTTCGACCCCGTCTTCAGTTCTATTTCCAAGTTAGCCAGTTCCTTTATAATGACAGGGAAATTAGTCTATTATAACTTCGAACAAGCTCATTATAACTTTCACTTCTCATTTATACCACTGGAATAAAATGTGATGCTTTAAAGTGAGCAAATATGGAATGGGCGTTTTTTTCTGTGATTTGCCCATGTCTTCTTACGTGGGATTTTAAATTGATATTGACATCCCGCGAGATTCTTTATCCTGGCTTGAATCACGGCAAGATATCCGATTTGGGCAAAATTAATTTTGAACCGTCACGTTAAACTCACTTTCCCGGAACGATTAAGAAGAATCACCAATCTCAAGGAATAAATTGGCAAGAACCCTTGCTCCGTCGCTGCTTGGTTGGATTTACATTCCTC